AAGATGAATATTTATTCGGAGATAAACTAGACATCTTTCAACGGGAATCCGAAAATAGTGCACCTGAACGTATCTTCCGCGGAACAGAGGCATGATCCACGCCATTGCCGACCTTCGGAAACTGCCAAATCATTAAATATTGAAAACAACAGAGAAATTGAACAAAAATGACCAAGCAGTAATAGTACTAGAAGCAATACCTTTCTGGAAAACTTAAATTTCTTGGTTGGTTTTGGAGAGTGAGAGACACAACAACCCATTGATAATGCTTTGGCAACGGCACTCAAGCTTCTCACCTTCTCCTTCTTTGATTTCTCCGAATACTCACTGCTCGCATTCAAACCTATATTTCAAACAGAGAAAAGGTGTAGATATTTATTCACCTATTTATTTGTTTTATAAAGGTTGATGATGGAAAAACTACTATAAAAAGTAAAATGAGTGGTGAAAGAATTACCACTACTGAGAGGAGTGAGGTTGCGTCTCCAGGAAGAAGCAGATTGAGACTGAGATTGTTGTTTGTTAATTTGTCCTTTGGCGTTTGAAAATTCACACATCTTGGAGGGCGTAGCTTCTCGACCTTTGTCCATATCTTTTCCTCTCACCGCCTTTGACCACCACGGCAGACCAAAATCATAATCACAGTCACAACGAACAACTGATGAATGTTTAAGGATCAGACCCAGTAAAAGTAGAGTTGGGAAAAAGCTACACAGCAATGAGAATGAGACTGTGCCTCTGAACTATCTCTACAAAAACAAAATAAAGAAGAGGGAGAAAAGTAATTGGTGCTTCGTGTTCAGAGAATCAGGTTCTTTGTGAGATAAAAAGTAACAGATTAAGTTGAGGCAAGGAAAAGACTATATATATAGAGAGAGAGTGAGTGAAGGGTAAATAAATAGCAAGTGTGGTACTCACGAGAAAAGAAAGGCATGAGAAAGAGAAAGAGAAAGAGAAAGAAAAAGAAAAAGGATGCCTATCAAATGTTATATCGGTGATAATTGTTTTTGTATTCAAGGATTTCCAAGGATAATAATTAGTATTTTCTTACCCTCAAAATAAGTAATTAGTCACAAATCCCCTGCACTTATAGTTAAATTAATTAAATGCAAAGCTAAACCATGTCCTCCACAGACACATGAAGTGCGGTTTACATGGGAATTATCAGTATTTCATTTGTTATTTTCATTAATAATAATTAATAGAAAAAAATTGAATTTAGTTTGAGAATGAAATGTTGCAGAGGAGATAAGGATGTCAGATGGCATCTCTCCGAGCAGTGCGGCATGAGAAGCTTGCTCTGATTGCATGTTTCTCTGTTTCTCACACTCTGTTTTCTACTCTTGTTTTTTAGTTACTCACATTATAATTTTATTATTTAATTAATTTCATACCATGTGTGGGTCCGGTGCGTGAGAAGCACGTGGCATTTGAGATGGGTCAAGTGGATGTAATGAGAAGACAAGAGTCTGCTACACGTGCGGAAGGAAAGAAGTGTGTGAGAAATTGGAGATTGAAATGAAATTCAAAGTTGAAGCTCCATTTATGATTATTTGATTCTAGGCGGCAGAGGTCATGCTTCCTACGTGAAAACCACATCTGTTTTCTCTTCTTCTAAGTTCTGTTCATTACTGCATCCATTGTGTGTCCTTCACCTACTGAATTCTTGTATCATATAAAGAATTTATTTTGAAAGTTTAAGGGTTGAAGTTGCTTTTAAAAAGGTTATAGAGTAACTATTTAATTATAATACTGTAGTTTTTAGAAAAGTTCTCTTAATTATTGATTTCTTAATAAGTACATTCATTACTTTACCTTAATCTAATATGTTAAAAAAAAAACTGACATATTTTCCATAGTTAACAACTAACATCTCAACAAATAAGCATGTATGATTGTCTTTTCTTTTTAAATAAAATAAGTATTCTTACTGCATTTTTTTATAAATCTAAAAAATAAAAATAAAATGTTAGCACAAAATATTATTAGATACATTATTACAAAATTAAACTAAAAGAGAAATTATATATCTATGTTTATCCTTTCCCTTATTTAAGTCTTCAGACATTAATTTTTTTTTCCGTCTCCAATGAGTATATACTTCCTACGAAAAATGAACCAAATGAAAAGATATAGATAATAAGGTAAATAAATTTGTAAACTAAGTGTACATATTTGAATATAAATCTAATATAAAAGTGATATGTGAAAGGAACTTTTTATAACCATTTCAAAAGTTTTAACCAAGTATTTATTATTATATATTTTTTGTTATTGTTATTATTATGATGTTATAAACATAATAATGTGTATACTGGTATGTTATATTTACAACATATTTATTTAATTTTAAAATATATAATAGAATACACTTTAATTTTAGATATTTAACTTTGTATTGACTAAGTTTGTATCATATTAAAATTAATATATTGTATTAAAAAGTTAAATTAGATTACTTTTTTTTCTCCTTTATTTTAAATATTGATACCATGATATTTTACTTTAAATAAATTATATAATGTATATTTTAAATTTATGTGGGATAAATCTTAGTGTCTTTTTTTGAGTTATTTAAGTCAGTTACAGTGAAAATAATTTTTTTATTATTGATCATTTAATAAATTTTTTAGTGGAGAAATTAAGAAGAATTTAATAAACTTTTATGAAGCTTTATGAGTTATTGAAGGTGAATTAAATGGATATCATGTATGTATCTCAAGTTGCATTCATTTTGGACTTTGAGAAATCAGAATTTCTATTAAGATTTTTGCATTCTTGTAAAGATGTTTACCAATGACCTTTCTTCTTTTTAGTTGGATCATAAACTTGTATTTATTTAAGGAAAACTATCCTTTTTTCATCCTACAAAGTGATACAAACATATGATATAAATAGTATTTCTTATTTCCTTAATTTAATTTCTTATAAAATTTATTTTTTTATTTATTTAATTAAGTTCCTCATAAAATCTAGTTTTGAAAATTGAAGAAAAATAATATTTGCATATGTTAATTTTTATATAAAAGATTTTGTTTGGACAATATCTCCTTGTTTGAGTTATATTTTTTATAAAATATAAAGTCAATCATAATTTTTATTTTTACTTATTGTTTGAGTTATATTCAAACACTTTAGTGGTATACATGTTAAAAAGATAGATTTGACATTAAATCTCTCCTATTCACATATTTAAAATAGAAAAAAAATATTTACAACATATTTTGTTTTTTCAAAACTGGAAAGTTAAGAAACATAACTCGAGTAAATCTGATTAGATTATTACTTGAGGTTGTTATCTTCCGACATTAAGTATATTAGTATTTCTTAAGCTGCCAACATATCAATCAAATAATATTCAGAAACTAAAAAGTATCTAACTTTCAAATGCTTTTTGTAGTAAAAAATAAACATTTCCACTTCAGTTATTACATTTTTTTTATTCACACAATTTAAAATGCATTAAAAAAACCATTCTGAAATGTGTAATTTAGAAGATATTTTTGAATTTGAAAACATTCTGAATTACACATTTCCGGAATCCAATATTTTTTTAAATATGTTTTAATTTTGTAATTTTGAAAATACTTTCAGATCTAAACATGTGTTTTGAATTACACATTTAACATTATATTTAAAAATATGAAATAAGTTACAAAAGCTATTTCGCTCTTCTTTTTTAAAACTAATATATTTGTTTAAATCCATTGCGAATTATACAATTCTATATAGATTTTTAGATTTAAAATACATTTTAGAGTCTGACAATTCAGAAGAAAAAAAAACATCACTCTTAACTAGGCACAATTTGGGATTATCATGTTTTATGGTAGTGAAGGAAGATATTGCCCACTTTTATCCTTGAATAAGGCTTCAGAATATTCAGCCCACTCAAGATTCATCAGGCTTAGGCCCAAATTAACTACTACAATGGACTAACAGAAAGTAAGTAAAAAGGTTAAAATTTTGTTTGATAATGACTGTTAGTTCTCGTTATTAGGAAATTATCTGACAAAACATTTTTAATTAATTTTTTCTTATATTTGAATTTTTATATGTCGATATTAATGTGTTCTATAAAACAAGTTAATTTTAGTTGGTTGGGGTACTTCTTTTGTAGTTTTTAAGATTCTTATAGTTTATTTAATTTTTATTTTTAAATATTTATAATTCTTTTTGCTCATTTTCAAAAGCGGAAGGGGTTTTTTTGTTCAATTTGTTTTTAAGATACGAAGTTCCAATTTTTACACTTTATGTTACACTGTTCATTTAAATAATATTGATTGTTTACAGTATATGTTCAAAAACCTTGTTATTTTTGAAAAAGACATTGCTATACTCACTTCATCATTTTAGCATCATTATTGAAGACATGAATTATACTATATGATAGGTTTATTTTATGTTATTTTTTTATTAAATACTTCTTATATTACATTACATTAGTTTAACTACAACACTACTTAATACAAATATGACGTTGATTGGTCCATTTATAAAAAGTTATTAAAAAAAATTATTAATATATCATGATTTTATTTATTTATTTATTTTTTAAATTTGATTGAGAACATTTAAAATTGAAATATGAAATAAGATGAATTGTAGATACACAAAATGCAAAAGGTATAATGGTTGACAAAGAAAAAGGTGATTAAAACAAATTTCTATAAATTAATTTTTAAATAGTTGAAAATTAATTAAAAAAACTAAACAGTAAATGTTCCAAAATACATTTGTGTTAAGCATTTAAAATTAAAATTTTATACATAAAAAATGTCTAACCCAATTAAGTGATTAGCTTTAAGCTTTTAAGCCTTTAGGTAGTTAACTAGTTTTACTAAATTTACAAAAGCCTTTTTTTCAAATATTAAAAAACTTAATTGAGTTTTGTACTTAATTTTTTATTTTCTATTAAATTTAATTAACAGATGTTTCTATTTAAAATGATATTGATCAACAGTGTAGAAGGGTCGAATCAGTTTCACCCAAAATAGCAATAACAGAAAGCTCTTCTTTATATAAGTTGGAAGATACAATACAACAGCAGATACAGAAAAGGCACAACACTCACAAACTGTGGCAACGCAACGATCGAACATGCGTTAAATACGAAGGGTTTATTTCTGCACGCAACTCACCAAAACAAGAACATATATTGTGTATGTTATATATGTATAAATAGTAACTTGCATGGCATGGCTTCACACTGATGGAAATCTCTAAGGGCACTTGCGTCTGCCACCGTGGGTGGTGAGACTGGCATAGCAGGGACACACTTCCTGGTTACCGGCAGTTCCCGGTGGTACGCAGTTGCAGCGTCTGCAGCAGGTTCCACAAGCTCTGTGACACATGCGCTGACGAGATGCTAAACGGCACCTCGCACCACATGCAGCGTTACAATCTGTCAAATCAACTCAAATTCAGAATCCTATTCATTCAAATAATCAAAATAGCTACATGAAATTACGTATACTAGATCTTCCTGAATATATATTCAAAATTAAGAAAACGCTGTTCGTTTTGTTCTCTTAACAAGAACGATGCAGATCATGCAATACCTATCTGCTGAACGAGAGAACCCTGGGTCTGTGCCTGCACCTGCGGTCTCTCAAGAACACGATAAATCAGTTAATTAACTAGTGCAGAAGGAGTATTATAAAATATAATGAATGAGTAAACAAAAATAAACGAAGAATTAAGCGGCTTCTTTAATTTCAATCACCGTTTGATCAGCTTGAAGCAGATGGAAGAGGAGAAAGGATAGCAGAAGGGATGCGAGTAGAAGCTTGGAGAGAGGCATGGTTAGATTGGAAGAGGTGTTTTACTTGAAAATGAAAAGTGCATGGCATGTGAAATTGGACCCTTTATTTATAGTTGAAAGATAAATAGTTTACGAGCTTTTCAAAGCATTTTCTCAATGGAATTTACTTAAAATAATTATAAGTATAATAACATGTAATTTAAAACATAAATGAATTCATGTATTCCATATATATATATATATATATATCTACAAAAACATATGATAAGAAAAATGGGAGTGGGATACTCTTTGTTGTGATGCGACGCGGAAGAGACATGAAATTGGAAGTGTTTATAAGTGAGTGATGAGGACATATTTGGTGGTGAAAGAAAAGAGCTTCGGGAAGCATAAAAAAACAGGCGACAAAGTGCTTTTGCTTCGTCACCAACTGTTCACGTGGCTATCAAAAGTGACGCAGTCCTTCATTAAGCCAAAAACACGATTTTTGTCTGAATACTTCTACACGATGACTCTCATAAACTTGCTAAACATATCACTAACATGGCAAGCTTTTGGATGGAAAACGCAATGCAACAAACATAACGCAAATGGTATGAGAGAAAAGAGTGTGATGAAGTTAGATTTACGTAAGCTTTTTGGGTGCGACGGAAGCGTGAGAGAATGATATAGTGATAGCAGTGATAGAATTTGATTACGCACTGTAGAGTGCATTATTGGGTGGAAGATATATTGTATGAAATTGAATGTAAGGATTTTGGTTAGATGAAGGAAAAGTACAGGTGCTGGATTATAATTATAACAGCCAAGAATTTGTCAAGTGGCTCGCCGCTAACTATGGCTTTGGAAGATTGTGATGTGTGAATCTGGAATGTGAGATGGAAGAGAAAGTAGAAAATAAAGTAACCTGAAATATAGGAAAAGGGTTACAGAACACAACGCAATCCTTACAGCTGTCTATGCTTTGCTACCACAGCTGTTACATGATCATATCAGATTATCTTTTCTCTATTTTGTTCCTCTAAATTGTTTAGATATGATTCGTTGAGTGTAATTCCAGAACTCTTATTACTGTTAATTATAAAGGAATAAATTAAGAAATGAAAATAATGAATACAAAAGTTTTAAAATAATAAAATAAAGTCACGTAGGTGATATTACAGGAGGTTTAATACAAATGAGAAGTTAAAAAAATTAGGAATGAAAAGGGGAGACGATTTTTATATCTCAATGAAAAAGACTTCAGTAATATGAGTAATAGAAAGCAATGAAACATTAAAATATATGAAAATGTACAATGCTCATTGACTAATATTTTACTATAAATCATGTTGTTTTTTAATTCATTAGAGATAGAACAAAACAATCAAAATTCATATCATCGAATTACACATCGTTCACATATAACAACTATATGTTGCATATCAAATTCAATGTTAAGCACACATAAAAATTAAAATAATAAAAAATATTTTTTTTTAACTAAAAGGTAAATGCTTAACATAATTTTAGAGACCAAAATAATTAAATGATTTTACAAAGATTGAAAAACAAAGTACCCAATTATATAATGAAAATATATTTAAGATAAATTAAAATAAAAAAAGATAAAGAAAGTTGTCCATCCTTACCATTAAAAACCTATCATTTTCATTTCCTCCTCGGACCACTCTTCTACTCCTTTAACAATCTAAACGAGCAACACAGGTAGACATTTGCTCCTTATCCAAATCAAAATTTGATATTTTGATATATGTTAACTACTAATTAATACTAGAACTCTGATATCTTGATACCCTTTTGAACCATTTAACAACCCTAAAATATTAGTATTTTAATTGAATACTTTTTATTTTTAATTTAAAATACTTATATATATATATATATGAAGAACTGATCAAAACAAAAGATAAATTAAAATTTCAGAAAGTTACATGTGTAGTACATTCTCAACTCAAATTCACTCAGTGATGCGTATACATAACATATCAAACTCTTCTGGCTGCTATATCTATTCTGACTTTCTGAGTGCCACAAGCAAAAGGGTTGCTCAACTTGAGGAATCTGAGAAGGAATGTCAAAATTACACCACTCCTGCAGGAAGTCGAACAATAAGTTGTCCTCCGACAAGACTGCAGTCAAGGAAGAATGAAAAGCGTTAGAAAGTTGACAAAGAGCATATTAAGATATTGCATATTCTTTGAATTTTACTATCCACCTCTTGACGTAGTAGTAGCAAAAATCTGCCAGGATGAAGGTTTGAACAATTTCTGATAGAAGAACAAATGAAGGCCACAATCCGTAACCCAATGCAGTTAGTAGACGTCCATGAGTATCTATTACCTGAGGAAGACAAAGCAGTCATTTTCTTGATCACACAATCAGTTGAAATGAACTAAACAATTACTCACAGGAAGAGAAGAAAAAAATTAATCAAGGAGGTAAATGAATCAAAATTCTTGCATGAGTTAAAGTTCATCATTCACTTCAACTTTTTCAAAAGCTCGTTCATCTAACTTGTTTATAGTCACCGGTTATGAACATGATAGAAAAGGTAACCAAAACCGGGTTAAACCATATGGTTGGCCTATGTATCATTGGATATTAAAGGTTGAGAAGGTCAAAAGATATAACTGACAAACAAAAGGTCTCGATGCCAAAACTCTTATGCAACAACTCTCCTTAGAACCCTCAGAACCTTATTGCCGTGCGGGTAAAGTAGTTTAAAAGAAGAATGTCGTACAGGAACATTCAAGCAAATACTACTAATAAAGTATGCATAATTCAAGGTTCTAAATATGAAAATTCTCCAAACCACAAATTTACAGCATATTAGGATATATCCGTATATGTATTTCAAGAATTAGGTGATAAAAAAACTTGGAGAAGTTCAAAATTAGACAAACCTGGAGAACCCAATGTGCACAACTCAAGAACCTTGCAACTCCCAGGGCAAAAACATAGTGTGCGGTGAATGGTTCAACGATCTGAAAGTTGAATTTAAGAATTAAATCCAGCGTTACTAGAAAGACTAACAGGCAAAATTGGGGGATCTGATCACTGTATTTAGGAAGACTAACGGGCAAAGAAAATAATTACAGCAGCAGCAGCATTTCAAACAAATAAAAGATAATAAAGAAAAGGTATAGGCAGAAAAGTATATATTTGAGACCTTTGCGTTCTGCATGACCCGCAGCTGAGGGAGAACAGAAACAGCTTCAAGATAAACACAAAATGCCCAGAGAATCCTATTAACTGTATGATGTCGGGTTGTCGGATGAATAAACAAGGACAGCACAGCACAAGGTATCACCTACATTTTGGTAAAAGAAAATCAGAACACCCCATACTCAAAGGCAGAGGAATTGAATAATCCATTCATTTAGTCACATAAAAAATAAAACATGTATCTTAGTTATAAAAGATATAATATCCTAGTTGCCACGACAAAAATACTTTCAGTGAGTGATGAAGTTGGCTACTTGTGTTTAAAACTAAGACAATTCCATTCAAGATAAAGAGAAAACTCACAAAAATGGTAACAAATGAAAAGGTGAAATCTCCGCAGCATTGAACCCATTTTCAAATTCATCAATGAATATTTTAAAAACAAAAAATTGAATCAAACACGTGATATATCACCTTCCACAAAGTCAAACATTAATAACTCTGTTTCTGAACAGGTAATCCAGCCAAACAAGCTAGCAGGAATCATAGAACACATTCAAACAACCTCCTTCCCTTCTCCTTTTTCTGGAAATCCATACTCCTTTTAAGGAGGAAGCACACAAAGAAGCAACAATAACTATTGGAAACTAAATTTCAACTAGACCTGTAGTACCCATGCAGGAAAAAAAGGAAATCCATCTAACAATAAACATAAATATAACATAACATAACATAATAATTTTACAAATTTGAGAAGTTTCTAAACTGTTTTCAACACAACACTATTCCAATTAGAAACCTCAGATTTGACCAACTGCAGTTTTTTTGTATTTAGCGCCTAACCGAAAAAAAAAAGTTTCTAATGCAAGAGTTCCAGGCATTACTCCTTAGATAAAAATTACATACGAAAATTTGTGAGATGCTTAACAGCAAGGCTGAACAAAAGCAACATTACAAACTGTAAACATGAATGACTTACCACATAGTATGTTGCAAGGTTATCCTTATCATCCATATAACTAGATTTGAGTTTGAAGCGTATCATATAGATAACCCAGATGGTCGTTCCCAATGTTGCCATATCGAGTAAGGTGTGTATATCATATTCCATCACAAAACTGCAGTAAAGTCTTACGCCTAGGAATATTGCCGTCAGCTCCTGCGATTTCAGCGAAAGCCCTGCGAAGATTTAAATCGCCCGTTACATGCAAACAAAAAACATGCAACATTAATTTCTGCTAATACCGTAGCAGGATAGGAAAAACACAGCAAAAGTCACATCAACCATCAACCCAAAGGTCCAATTTAACACAACCCTACCCTGAAATGTCAACGGTAATTTTTATCTTTTTGGGGGGAAAAAAGGCGTTGAAGGTAAAATTGTAATGAAAACAAAGGGATTTGTACCGGCACAGGTTCTTTCCTTGGTGAGTTTGTAAATGAGGACGGAGATTCCTAATGCATGGACAAACTCGGCGGCAACGAAAAGGCTATCGTGGTCATGAACAACGATTCTGAGGAAGAGCAAGGCGGCCAGACCGATTAGCACCGCAAGAAAGACCTTCATCTTGGGCGGTTGCCGCCGAAACCATGTCTTCACGGCGTGGATCGGCCTCTTGCTTCCCTTCATTCTTCTTCTTTTTTTTCCTTTTCCCAACAGATTATTTGTCTGTCACTTTGTCTGGTCTTGTGTTTTGTAACTTGGTACGAAAGAAGCTAAAATACAATCCAATCTAATATGTGTTCCCAGTTGACGATGATTAAGAAGGACACGTGTGACATTAGTTTATAGGTCTTTGTTTATTCGTTATATATGCGACGGGTGGGTTGCTCAACCACTCTTCTTCCCACTTCATCTCGTCCCTGCATCTTTCGTTTATGAAGCTGGGCGGGTGCGTACACGACACGGCCCACTCACGAGTTTGGTAATGGCCCATTAATGCAAATGAAGGGAGGGTAAAATATTTTACCAGTTTTGTGGGGACTTTTTTACAAATAATATTTAAAGACAGAGACAAAAATTAAAATTAAAATAAAAGTCAAGTTCCGTACATTACGCAACAAATATTGAAATGACTGATCATTACCAAAAGAATATATGCTAATTTAATATTGACAGAAAGATTTTTTTTTCTTAAATAATCAGTGGTATAAATACGAACAAAATATGACGAGAAAGGAAATTTAACCTAATAAAATATTGTTAAATAAAATTATTCACTATATTACCTTTTAACTATGTCAGGAAACTTAGTATGATTGATCCACCTGAGTCTGTGTTGGATGGACGCAAGATACATATACATATACATGTACTAATACATTTGAAAGACATTTTTTCTTTCAGCAAGACAAATGTTTTTATATCAAAAAAATAAACTCTGAAAATTATAATTTTTATTCTTATAAGTAATAAACTATGATTAATTATTTAAATATTATGTAGAATATTTGTATAATTTTTTATTAACAAAAAAATAATATTTTCTTTTTATTGAAATATTCATTTTTATCCTATTAAATGATTTGATATGAATAACGTCATTTTTATTTCAATCCAAGAATGATCTATTCTCATCTCTCGTGACCATATTATTTTCGGAAAAGATGGAAAAAAAGTATTCAAAAGAAATTGTTTCATGTAAATATTATTTTTGAAAAGATAAATTAAATATTGAAAACGTATTTTTCTGATTTAAAATTCTAAAAATACTAGAAAAATCTTTTGCACACGCTTCCTGAAAAAAAATGCAATGAAAATAAAAAAGAAAATCTCAAGAACATTGATCTAGTTAAAACTGCAAGATTTTTAATACAAAAATGTAACATAACCCATAAATCTTGTTCATATTCATATCAACGTGATCTAATTTAATGAAAACCCCAAAAATTTAATTAGAAAAGTTGATATATTTAGAAAGAGAAAACACATATACACATATCTGTGAGAGCGAGAGAGAAAGAAGAGTATGATATCATATTATATAATATTTTCTCGCATACTTATTTTCAGTAACAGTATTCTTCTGCTTTCGGAATTAATTACGTGTTTGGAATCTGAAAACCTTAGACACTGTCGCTTCATTAATAGAATAGAAAAGATGCGTCAATCTGAGGAACGGAGCTAAAATGCATGTAAACGATCTGGCTTACATCCTGTATAACATGATAGACAATTATTTATTTATAAAAAAAAATTAGAATCCCCTTCCTTTTAATTTGATAATTTTCTTGTAAAATTTAAGATACAAAGTTATCTAAAATTTATATTTTTTAATATATTGTGAACTGATACACAAAAATTGGCGATGACTTACATACGATAGTTGCAGCATCTAGTAGGGTCTCGAAATGAGTGGTGACCACATGGACCTGAAATTGGAGAGGTAAGAGGCCAAAACCAAAAGCAACACCACCAACGCCGCCACGCCCCAGGGAAACCCCCCACCTTCTGTTCTCAGTCGTATGCCACCCAAGAACGGCGGCGGCGCCGGAAGCACAAGACGCGATCCGTGTTTAGAGATGGCGTAGGCAACGAAAATCAAGAAAAGGGGCAAGAGCAAGAGGAAGACGTGGAAACCGACAGTGGCTGTTTGCACGGTGGACTTGAAGTTAATGTAAGACGGAACAAACAACAAAAACATGACTATGGCAACTATGGCGAGGAGTTGCAAAGGTGGCGCAGATAAAGAGCAGAGAGTGTTTGTCGTCCAGCCTTGCTTCCATGCTGGACCCCTTCTCTCCTTCAACGGCCACACCATTTTTGTTTCTCTCACTGTATTTCTAATGGTAACGTGCAGTGTGTGGTGGCTACTATTTATAGTGCACTAGAAAACTAAACAGGAGTATATATATATATTTAATATAAGACCACAGAATTTGGTGCATTATTTGTGTGTTGGCTTTGGCATAAATTCTAAGGTGGGTTACATCTCAAACCAGACCACCTTCTCTTTGGGATTGATACCAAATGAAAAGCCACTCGCGGCCGGTGAACTGCATGAATATATTCTTCTTTGCTTTTCCACCCAAAGCTTTTACATGGAATATGGATTCGGCTAACAATGCTTCCGCATCTCATCAAAATCTTACATATATAATGGAAACATTATTTTATGAATTTCCCCCAAAAATAAATATATCATAATTTTAAAGTATCACTAAACATTGCAAACATTGAATTCAGATAAGAAATTTTTTTTTATTTAATTTCAAAATAAATGTACTTTTAAATATTTAAACGGTTTAACATGTCTAGAGGGACGGCCGCAAGTGCCCCGGGTTTCTATGTATAAAGGAAGTGGAAATAAACATATCAAATAAAATTGTAATAAAATTTCAAACTTTAAAGTGATATGGTAATTAACCTTTAACAATATTATCTTAATATATTAGAAATCGGGATATTAATGTCATCTGTAAGATCCAAAATGATAGTCCAAACAAAGATATTTATTTTTCTCTAGACTTTAAGTGAGACTTATTACAGCAATAATCTTAGGTCACTTAATAGTGAAGACTAATAATAATTTTAATATGATTTCTTATCTTAACATATTGAAATGCTTTTTAAACAAAAAAATTGTAAGAGAGTTGCTATATTCAAATGGATAATACATTATATATGATTTATATACGACGACTCAATATAAAAATATTATTTCAATTAACTTGAGATTAAAACGAATTATATTTTAATAAAAAAATATATTAGTTTTATTTTATAGTAAAAACATGACTTCATTAGTAAAAATAGTTTGATGTGCTCTTATGTTAAATTGGAATTGACACAACTTAGAATTATTATATGTTAAAATTTAAGTCTGTCACATATTAAACATTCTAGTTATATTCTACTTAAAAGTATTGCATATTAAAGTAATTTAAATTTTGACACATGAGATTTTAACACATAACATTTTCAAACTGTGTTCAAACCAATTTTAACATAAGTGACTACAATGAGTTTTTTTATAAAAATAAAAACCGGATTGAATAAAAAAAATATAAATAAAAAACAAAACTAAATATAAAAGAAAAATAATTTCAATTTTATCAGTTTAAGTACAAAAAAATTAAATATGTAGAATCAAATTTATTAATTTATATTTCTATGACTAATAATTTATTTGAATCACTTATTTTTTAATATTTAGATAAAACTCAATTATAAATATTAACAAGTAACAAATATTCACATGTTGACACTATAATATCATTATCTACTCTATAAACAACAGGTAACTGAATACGCATGTCCACTATACATAAGTATTTATTAAAAATATTTATTTAATACATTACAAATTTTATGCGCATATTTAGGAGCAGAAGTAAGAACTAAGTAATCATATTTCTAATATTCTCCATATATTTGAAAATTGGGTTGAAAAGAAAAAGGTAATATGGGCCTTTTTTGGGGCCAAGCCCAATATGTCTGTACGAAAGACATCTAAAACATTTAGTTCTGGTATCCATAACTTCAATGTGAATTCTCCCCTTACTGGAGATTGAAATTGATTTTCCAGAGAAATGGCTTCGGAAGATTCTAAGCCGGTGAAGAAAGAGGAGGAGTCCAACAACAAGAGTTCCGTTTCCAAAAAGGTCGCAAAAGTTAAGAAAGAAGAGGTCGAATCCGTGAAGAAGAAACCTAAAGCCGTGCCCGTCAAGAAGGAACCTAAAGTCAAGAAGGAAATCGAAGACGACGACGACGACCTTCCCCTCGCCAGAAGGACCTCCAACTCCAAGGTTTCTCTTACATTTGAGTTCTGCTTTTTCATTTTTATTATTTACTTGTTTTCAAAGGATTTTGGTATCATATGGAGTGGACTGTGTTTTGACTTCGTTTGTTTGGGTTTAAAATTGTAGGAAGTGAATAAAAAGAAGAAGACAAAGGAGAAAGTAAAGGAGAAGGGGAAAAAGAAAGAGAGAAAGGTTTATGATTTACCTGGCCAGAAACGTGATCCACCGGAGGAGGTATCCGAATGCTTCTCTTTGCTCTCGTTTTTGTTCAGGGTCATATAAAGTTTTGAATTGAGTAACAGGGTTGTAATTTTTCCTATTTTTCAGAAAGATCCTCTTCGGGTTTTCTACGAGAGTTTGTACGAGCAAATTCCCAACAGCGAAATGTCACAAATCTGGTGAGTCTTTTTTTTTTCTCATTTAGAACTTTACTTTGGAGAATGAAGGTGGGAAGGAACTGGGTTGTGATTTGTCAAGGGAGGTAGAATTGTTTTGTTACTATTTTCTGCCCCCTTAAGACTTTGTTAACTCTTACAAAAATTTAACCCTTATAACAATATTTGTGGAATGTAATTTAGCTGAAACAGTCATTTGGCTCCAGCAAAAACACCGAAAGAGCCTGTGAGCATTCACTGTGAATAAACTAGTTATGCTTGTTTTTTAGCTAATAATGAGTGCAGCGATGAAAGAACAGTTAGCATGCTTTTAGCTAAAAATCTTTTGGCACACGTAACTGGAATATAGAGAAAATTTTCAAACGCGTAAATAATGAATTTTTTAGGGTCTCAGTTGGCTAAATGCCCTGTGGATTGTTTTCATTTGTTAGGGATATAATATCAGGCTAAATATCTTTGCCAATAAATGGACTTTGTACTGGTGGTAGAATGCTGTTTCACGTGTAACCTTGAACGCAATTGAATGAAACCAATTTTGTTAAGAGGTGGGCATTTGGCGCAATAGTAATTTCCCAGCTTTCATGACACCTCAAGTGAGTCTTGGTAACATATGAATTTGTCTGGGCAAACGATAAACCATTTTAAAGGCAGATCTGGAGGCCTCCCTGTCATTCCTCCCCTATGTCGAGATTGACCCATTTTTCATCCCTCTCAAATGTTGAGTGAGATGGGCAAATTCTGATTCTCAATTTGATGACAGAAATAAGGGTTAAGGGGGGAAAAGGAGGATATGTTGGCTCAACTGAGTCCCCTCCTATACCCCTAGGGCATGTAGCACCTAGCATTTGTCAACACTTATTCATTTTATATCTCAGAGTGATTAAAGTGGTAGATGTGGCATAAGTTTTTTATTTATAGTTATAATGGTTTTGACAATAGATGTGTATTTCCCCATTTCCCATGTTTATGATCACTCATTAAATCACTCCTCAACATGTAGTGACAAACCTTAAGCAACAAGTGACACATAGTATTGAAAGTTTACATTAAGCATGTGTCAAAATGTAATCATTGTTTAAACAAGAAAAATCTATATCTGTGGTTATCTTTCAAGCAATAAAACATGCTTTCCATAGTTAATGAAGAATATAAGACTGTTTATTTATCATGACCATGACTGCACATAATTTCAGGCTGATGGAATCGGGGTTGCTTCCTAAGGAAATTGCAAAAGAAGTATTTCAGAAGAAGCAAAAGAAATGTCCGCAGAAGCTGTCTTCTCCAGTTAAGGTGGTATCGGCTGCGAAGAGGAGCACCAAGAGTATCACCAAATCTGTGACAGTTAAGAAGAAAAACCCAACTTCCCCTTTGTCTTCTCTTAAAAAGAGTACTACGAACTCCACGTCGAAGCAGTCTAACAAGAGGAAGTCTAAGGCTCTAAGCTCAGAAGATGACGATGTCACCGATTCTGATGATGAATTTATTATGTCGACCGTAACAAAGAGGAGAAAAATGGCTTAATTATGCCCATCTGTGACAACATTTTTATTTTGACATTATGTTATTTAACTTGTGGAATGTTAACCAGTCTGCTTCAATACTCACATCTCAACTCTCACTCTGACACACATCTGTGTCTTGTCTGATGTATTACTTTTTCTTTGTGGATTTGGATAGGATGAGGAAGAGAAAGATAAGGGGGGTAAATTATGCACAACTATGGTGGATAGCTGGTGGCAAACTATTCCTTCATTTCTAATTGTTTTTGCTTTTTTATTTTTGTATTTCTTTAATGTTTTTTCCTTTAGCATTCACTTGCACGCTTGGAGTTTCATTAGCAGAGAAATCGAGATTGGTGATTGCTTTTTGATGTGTAACTCTGAGGTATTCATTGTTCTCAGAGGGCATGCATCTTAGAGAGAAATAGACTCTGATGCAAGGAGATTGAGGTTATCTGATGGTTGTTGTTTTTTTTTTCTTTTATCTGTAGGATTTGAGGCGTTTGAGTTTAAGGATTGTGGGATGTTATCAGAGATGAGAGCTTATTATAAGAGTTTAAGGAAAGAGAAGGTTGGAGGGAATCAGAATGTTACAAGTTACATTTGCAAATTCAATTTTATTCAGGTAGCGGGTTATTACATTCTACCCGATTTGGCATTGTTTTTTTAGTTTTACATAGCCAATCGTTTCCTTTTTCATCTAGTGTTTTTTTTTATATGACATAGTAGATAGTAGATTTGTCATAATACGTTTTATATGCATATTTAATAGTAATTAAAATATATTTTATGATTGAAAGGACAGAAATGCATTTAATCTGAATGCCGTGGATTCTCAATTCTTTTTAAATAATAAAAAGTGTTAAACTGATCCATATACGTTAATTTTTATATATACTGGATTCGAAATTTTGTTATACTTGAAAAAATATTAAACTAAAGTCTTTACTCAAGAATGTATAAAGAAATTAGCATAGACAAAATCGGTAACAACTGCGAATGTAAAAATCAATTTACCAAGTTCAACCTATTTACAAATAACCGAAATTTAGAAAACATAAATCAATTTCCCACTATCATAAATTTAAAAAAAAAAATATTTGTGATAGTTGAAAATTTCAATTTTAGAAGTTGGATTTGAAATATTATAATAGTGAAATTATAATATTTAAGAAATATAAAAATGTAATTAATTTATTTTTATTAAATATTTGTTATTTATAAATCATGTTTTATCCATTCTATTTAGTTGCGGTCTAAATAATAGGTTTTGAAGAGTACACTGTTTTACAAAATAATAATTACATCAAGAAAATAATATTTGAAAATACAAACATATATTATAATTTATATTTATTCGCATTTCAATATATTGTATATCTAAAATTAAAATTAATTTTATTAACATGTGGATATTTTAATTTTTATTCAAATAATTCATTTGATTTTTTTAAATATTTTAAAACTATATTAAAATATTTTATTCGTCTGAACGAAAAAAAAAATAGTCTTTTAAAAAAGCAGTGAAGTTGTCTTTTAAGTATCAATTTTGCTTTAAAACTTTCATTTTCTTTTTACTTAAAAAATTGAATTATCCACGTGCTTCAGTTGCCCTACTTCACTCAGTCACGTCAGTTAAGAAACTGCGTGCCACGTCAAACACACAATAACGTCGTTGGAGACAATTTAACGGAAAGGATCCAATTGTTGCAATTTTTATAAAATTAGGATCCAATTGACAAAAACAAAGGGACTAAATTGAAATTTCACGCGAAAAAAAGGGACTTAGTGAATTATTAAACCTTATTTTTTTTTTCCACCTCGTTCAATGGATTCTTTAAGTACGGTGAGACTTCAAGTTTTAATTATAACCCATATTACGTAGATGAAGGTATAAAGAAGGAATGAAAAATTAATAAAGATATATAATAATTGTTCAATATTGAGAGACACCATAATTTTTGTAATGGTTTTAAATAAAAATAATATTTGTAAGGATGAAGATTGTCACTTGATATCAAGGTGACATGTGGTCGTATATCTTATTCTACGGTTGAATTGATAAAATTATAAGATTAATTAATGGAGATAAAATAATAATAAATGGTTTTAATGAAATATTTATATGATTATTTATTTATATACATTTATGAATTTCAATTAGTTTATCTTATGTTATTTGTTTAATACATTGGACGATTATGTTTTTAAAACGTTACTATGTGCGGAGGAGTAATTCTATAGAAAAATTGTCCATATATTTCTATTTTGAGAACTTTTGAAAGTAATTTCTTTTATTTTAAATGTAATGTATTTAAGGAAATATATATGTATTGCGTATAATGAGTTTAAATGTTTGTAAATATTATAAATGCTTATATACAAATACCATAATAAAAGAAAGTAAAAGTTGTATGAATAACGTAAAAACTATAACATTAGCAGTAGAGTCAAATTAAACCATACTAAATTACAACTTATCAACGAATATTTTGTCCTTTTCTTATATACGTATACAGATAATTCATATTTAAAATTCCCAAATATATTTTCAGAAATCTAATTTGGCGATAGTTTTTTTTTTCGTATGATAATGTATTTTATTAAATCAAATTACATAACTAAGATGATTTAAGATAGCTCCAACTCATATAAAATAATAAAAAATAAATATTTAGAAAAGTTTAAAGTAACTTAATAAATTATTTTGATAACAGTGCTATGGCAGTTTAACTAACAAAAACTGGTTCATGATACATTTTAATGATCTCAACCAAATTGAGACGTATGATAGTATTATTAGTCAACATAGGTATCATTAATGAACTAAAGTTTCTTTAGATATTAGTTTTTAAATCATTATTATAAATGTCAACAATATATTATGCATAATAACTTATAATACAATTAGTTTTTATTTCTTTTACATTATCAACGAAAATGAAAAATTACATTAAGAATCTAATTGAGAAAGTAATACCATTACCCAATAAATTATTTAATAATTTTTTATTTTGCTTTTATCTAAAAGTACTATTTACATTATTGTTTTAGCTGTTGAAAGTGTTATTTAAACTGTCTTTATATAATAACGACCTAAAAGTAGTTACTCCAAAAGCATATTTAATATTTTAAATAAGGTCGTGTATGTTAGATATCAATATAAATTTTGACTTTCAATTATATATATATATTTAAATCTTTTTAATTATTTATCATGACATAAAAATTTAAAATAAAAAATATAAAAGATAGAGATAATAAATGTTTAAAGATATATTAAATGTGGTAAAAAAAAAAGTATTGATAGAAATAATATCAGTAGTCTTGTAAAGATCTGCATAAGAAAATGTGATAAGTCTTGTTTGCTAGAATGAACGGCACGACCAATGAATCCTATCGGAATGCAAAAAAGAGCGCGACCAAAAAATCACTCAAAGCAACCATAAACCCTAGTCACCTCAATTCTTCCACACACGACACGTGTCAACCTTAAGCGCGTGCTGTGGATTTCCAAATTCCCTTTTTATTAAGCAGACGCAGAAGGAGCCTCTTTCTTCCTACCAACACAAAAACCCAAACTCTCTCTCTCTCTTTCCTATCTCTTTCTCATCCTTCTTACTCTATCTATTTCTCTCTTCATCTTTGCCCTCTGCAATGGGAATTCAAATTTAGAGGAACGCCAAACGAAGATCAGTAGGACCAGTGGAGAAAGATTACGAGGATGAAACAGAGGACTGGGTCGAGTGTCTCCTCGTATAGTACGAAGGAGAACGAAGTTGCAGAAATCCTCGTGAAGCTCCGAAGTTTAATATTGGAATTGGAGTGCGGCCACGGAATCCTTCCACAGTCGTGGGGTCGGAAGAAAAAGAGATCTGCGATTAGTGTTAATCCGAAAGCAGAGGAAGCTTCGAGTCCCGCAACCCCTCTCTCCTTCTCTCCCAGTGAATCCGATGAAAACCCAACCTCTATCTTCAGAAGAAACGTTTCTCTCAAAAGGGTATTTTCCTTTTCCTTTTCCTTTTCCTTTTATTCTATCTTTCAAATCTATGTTTTTTCTTTTGTGTCTCTTTCTTTCGTCCTTGTAATTTCTGGGTTTACTTCAAAACTCACAGAAGAGAGAACACTGTCTGAAGATTATACAGGATTTGAGCAAAGACAACGATTTGCTCTCCGGGGTAACTTCTCGTTCTTTCTCTCTCTGTTTCCTGAGTTTCCCGTGTTTGGATTTGGACCCTCTTAAATACGAGAGTGAAATTTTGAAAAGGAAAGAAGAAATCTTGCTTAACCATAGTTGATCTGTGAAAATTCTTGACAGGAAATTAAGAACGTCAATTGTTACTTCGACAAGTTGAAAGACTACAATTTGAAGCTGAAAGCTAAAAAACAAGAGGTATTACTGCCGCTACTACTACTCCCACTAGTCTGCCAATCTTCTTTTCTTTTTGTGTTTATCCCCTTTTTTTTTCCTTTTTGTTGGGTATTTCTCGTTCTAGTTATATTTATGTTGCTTTATCTTTATTTTCTGATGGTGGGTCCACTTCTTTATTTAGATTTATTAATTATTGAATTGCTATTTTTTTTTTTACAGCTAACTCATGGCCCAAGGCAAGGTGTTGTAGTACACAAGCAACCGCAACAGCAACCGCAATTCCCCGGTGTGGCGCATCATCCACCGTTGATCTCGAATCAGTCGGCGTGTGGAGTTGCAACGACGTCGTCTGGAGTACCATCTTCGAGTAGTAACGATGTGGGTCCAATTGGAATTCCCGATCTGAACCTACCACTTGAAGAGTCCATGACCATGGAGTTTTGTGAACCGTTGGATATGAGTGTGAATGTGGCTAACAGGAATCTGAGTAGGGCCATGGCAGCTCAGGCCCGTCAGAATAGGCTTCACATTTACAGGTTCAAGAATTCAATAGGAATTAGTAAACCCCGTTACTCTTGTAGATGATGATATAATTATTATAATATTAATGATAATAATAATATTACTATCATTATATTAGCCAAATCCTATATTTTCATACACACAGAATTCTTTTTTCTATTCTTTCTCTCACTCTTCCTTTTAAGTTCTTACCTTCAATAATATTATTATTATTAAGGAATTTAAAGGATGGTACTGTTCACAGACCGGAATGTATATATCGTGGAAACTCTTACACATATTTTGTCGGATTTTTGTTTCTTGAATCATGATAATGATAATAACGTTTCTGATTAGAGTTTAAGGCAATTTAAAAGAAATGGTGTATCAGCATTACCTTCTC